CGCGTTGAGCAATATCCAAAAGTCAAACCTCAAGTGGCGAGGTCGACGTTTAATATCCTGCCCGCACTTCCATTCACATTTCCATCTACTTTCTCATTAGTTGACCCCTCTGATTAAATCAAAACTCAAAAGAGGAATTGTGAATATATTTTTATATTTGACTTATTACGCTTTATACCTCAAATCCATATTTCGGCCAGGTGATTCCTTTTGCGGTTGTCCATTTGAGTCTTCATTCGCATCCAATCCAATGCCAAAACTCTTAATTATATCAAACACAGAAATCACCTGGTTTGAGTACCTGTAAGATTTTCAAGTGTCCTATAATTTTTATATATTTTTGCAGATTTCTCTTGCGACACTTTCGTATATATCCCGCAGATGATATATAAGCACTATAAGATGTCACACAGAATTTTCCCGAGGACCTTTTGATACGAGTTCAAGATATAATACGAAAGTTCCAGATATAATATAAAGATCTGTCAAGAACACCGAAGTTCTTAAGCAAGTATTTCTTTTTGCTGGGGCTGAGAGCAGAAATGCAAGTGAGCAGCTTGAGATGTTCGGAAGAAGTAGGCTACTTCTATGAACTTTTGCTTTGGGGCGAGATAAAATAAAACTTGATTCAGTAGGAAGGAATTCCAACTTAGATTTCTGTGTAACCCATTAAATCATGTGAAAGCGAACGGGGAAGCAGTTAGAAGCCAGGTAGCGACTAGTTAAGTTATCATAGAAATGAGATATTTGTTAGATTAATCAGCATAAATAAGCACTAGGATATAAGCCAGGCCAATATAAAGGCAGACGCACACAAATTGTTGCCATCGATTGCCTTTGGGCGCATCCAAAAGGACCAAAAGGAGCAAGGTTGCAGCAAGTGGCCGCGAGCACGTAATCAGGAATGAATAGAACGGTAAGCAAGCAAGGGTGACCGACTAGAAGATACCCCGTACCCGGCTCGGTAGCCTAGGCTGTGCTCTTAGCAACATGTAAACTTCGGGCTAACATTCCAATTACCCGTTTGCAATTCTGAAATGGACATTATAAACATTTATAAAGACGTAAGATCTTATACAGATGGAAAAACCATGAGATGTTTTGCGGGTCGACTCCTTTTTAAGTGGGTGCAGGGCATACAAATAAAAGCAGGCCACAAAGTGCGAGGGAGGTGCAACAAAAACCAAACTCGCTTGGAGAGAGGCGATTGCATGGTTCGATTTAACCGGCGGAGTCCTGAGTGCAGCGTCTCAGCTAAAGGCCAACCCGACGAATTTCATTATCAATTGGAGCCGACGGCTAGGATGGAGCTGGCCCGGTTTAAAGTTCAAACTAATGAGTTTGTCGGACTCGGCGGGGCTGCCACCAAAATGTCAATTGGCGCATGCCTTGGGGCAAAGTAATTATGTTTGATGGCTTGGCTTGGCTCGGTTATGCTGCGCAGCCACTAAAAGCAAAAGCGAATCAGCCGGATGGAGCGTGCGGACGGAGCCGTGCCCAAACAGAGATAAGTAATATTGCCGACCACCTGTCGGGACAATATGTGCAAAGAGAATATAAATCCGTAATATTTCAGGATTGATCGTGGCTCTTCAGCTGGCTTTTCGCTCTTCGAAACGTTCGTTTTCGTTTTATATTCGTTTCCGAGACTCGCTCACTTTCTCAGAGAACAAGAGAGTAAGAAATACATATGATTTGTGCGGTAGAACGGCATCGCTGTTTTTTATCTCACTCTCACTACAGAAAACTGCTTTGGCTTACTCTCAGTGCTCTCAACTCTCTCTCAATAGATCGTTTAAATGTATGTGTGGGTGTACGTTGGCATGTGTGCATGGAGATTTTTTGCGGCGGCCATGCACACACACACAAGTTTGTGTATGGATACAAGCATTTATGCGTTCGTGTGCCTGTTGTTTACTTATCTATCTAATCCAGCTATACACACACACGCACACCCACATGCAATTTCCAAATAACATTTCGAGGTCCAAAATCGACTTCTTTTTATTAAAATTACGCCACCTGGCTTTCAGTAGGAGAAAGTGCCTGCAAAGCAGTGTAATATGTTTATAGCACACCTAATTTTAAAACATAGAACAAGCAAAAAACATAGAAACAACAACGTCGACTCATTTAACATAGTCCTGATTCAGAGATGTGAATGTGTTCACAGGAAACAAGCAGTGTATCGAGCACCTATCGAACCAAAGAAACATAGCATAAAACAAACATTTATTACCGTTATATTGAGGCGCCATCTAGTGTTTTCATCACAGCAAATGTGGAGAGCACAAATTCTCTACAACATAAAGACCGTACGAACAATTATTTCCGACAGATGTATCACCCAAGCAGTTCACAAGCAGTGTGCTAAGTATACAGTGGGCAGCGAGAAACACATTACAACATAAATATTTTCAAGTTGTAACTAATAAATCTACAGCCAATTTGTAATAATTATAAATTTCAAACATGAAATAATAACATATTTCTGTTATTGGGTATCTACCAAACGTGTTCGTTAAATTGCGCCATCTATCGATCTAAGGAAAACATAGCTTAGAACATAGAATGTTTAACATAGAACATAACGCCATTTCTTGCTTACATCGCAACAAATTCAATGAATCCAAGTTTTTCGAAGCGATGTAAAAGCGAGCTATTGTAAAAGCATATACTTCGTAGTAGATGCTCTCAATATGCTCCCTAGACACGAACTTCTGTATATATTTATCCACATCAGTATATACATACACCGTTGCCAAATGTGGTACAAATGTACCAAAATGTTTTAATGATTCGCCTTAGTTTTTATATGAAAAGAGGAAATATAAAGTCAAATGTGGTACACAATTATACAATCAAATGTACCATTTGTGTACTATATGTACCTTCGGATCAGTAGAAGCAGCAGCAGCAGCATCTGCAAGTTTTCTAACTCCCGAATAAATCACTATTATTTCACATTTTTTTTCGAGTGCATTAACTTTTACGCTTTTTTTTGTCAGATTGCCCGGAAAAAGGGGCAACACTGGCCGGCTGCCATGGTTACATTTGGAAAATGCAAACAAACTGTGCCTGGGTCATGCGTTGGCCACAGTTCTTATACAAGTTGCATGCGAAAATGCAGAGCATGTTCGAAAAAGGCAACGAACTTAGTTTGGGCGCAGCCGGCAGCATACAGGAGATCGCCGGACGCTTGGCGGAGGAGCAGGAGCGCTTGCGCCAATTGGAGGCAGCCAGCACGGCGCCCAAGGAGCGCACATTGTTCGTGCTGGGCAGCAAAGGGGTGGTGAGTGGACGATGTTCATCATGATACACGATATCGATAACTGAGTGGGAAACTGTGCGCAGGGCAAATCGACGGCTATAAACAAGTTTTTCGACCGGGAGGAGCACACGACGCGTCCGACAATGGCCTTGGAATACAGTTATGGTCGCCGCACGGGCACCGGCCGATCTGCCCAGGTGCTGAACGTGTGGGAGCTGGGATCACTGGACAACGCGGAACAGCTGCTGGAGGTGCCCATGCGCACACACGGATTGCAGCAGCTGTCCGTCTTCATCATGATCGATCTATCCCAGCCGCAGCGCGTCTGGGCGGACGTGGAGTGCGCCTATAAGGGACTGCGGGATACGGCCCAGCGGCTGATGCAGCTGGCAGCGCCGCAGCTCCGCGAGGATGTGGAGCGACGCTCCTTGGAACGTGTGAAGCACGCCAAGCAGGACATAAGCACACTGGACCTGCTGCCCTTTCCCGTTGTGCTTGTGGGCGGCAAATACGACGTCTTCATGGACTTCGAGCCGGCCCTGAAGAAGCACATTTGCCGCTGCCTCCGCTCCATGGCACATCTGGTCGGGGGCGCCGTGCTGTTCTATTCCCAGAGTGTGCCAAAGCTGGCCAAGGTGCTGCGAGACACCATTAGCCATCTGGGCTTTGGCAGTCCCACCAATCCGTTTCGCGCCCATGTCACCGACTACAATGAAGCGCTCTCCATTTGGTTCGGCACCGACAGCTGGAGCCAGATCGGCATTGGAGAGGCGGGGCGCCTGAATGTGGAGCGCATTGGTGCCACATTGAGCGTGGAGGTGCCGCAATTGCAGCTCGAGAAGCAGAAACAGCAATTGCCCCAAGATCCGGCCAGAGATGTCGGCTTCAGGGAATCGCTAATCGATGATATGCGCGCCCACAAGGACGAGGAGCTGGCCGCCATTATGAGGGATCTGACACTACGCGGCAAATTCGAAAGTGTGCACGGCTAAATATTGCAATAACTTACATACTTAACTCAAATGTAGCTGTGTAGGATTAAAGACTTATCTGGGACACATTTAAGGTGCCCTATACTCTTTTTTTTATCGGATAATTTGAGCGTAATCTACCCCAGACTCCAACGACATTATTCCTGAAACCTTCAAAGGAAAAGGATCACGGCCCAGTCTAACGGTATCTTCCTCTAGTACATGGGCTAAGTTTTAATTGGTTCTAGCAGTGAAATCCGGACGAAAATTAACCTGTCGTCAATACAATCTTGGCCCACATTATCTACTCAACACGGTTTTTTTTCCTAAGAATCCTTTAAATTAATCGACAATTTCATGATAATTTTATGTATATTTAGCAAAGGTTAATTACGCCTTCAACAATATATTTATTATTTATTTTCGACCTATTACAAGAGCTCTATGAAATATAAGTTTTATGTTGATGATGTTAATAACAATATTTTAATTTTTCGTTTTCTCATAAAACCGATCAAGGCTTTTTCTTCAAATATTATATATAATTTTTATTCTCTAAATACTACCTTACATAAAGTTGTATGTCGAACATTTTAAAATCGAAAGACTTGGGAAAGTTTTAAATTATAGGATATTGTTTCTTGCATTTACCATATAAATATTAATATTCGAATAAGCCTCTCGTCATTAATGATTAGGTAATCCAAACTGTCCGATTCCGATATTTGTGATTCTCAATATAGTAAGCTAATATATTAGTATTAAGCTTTGCGCTAGCTTTCATATCATAAAAGGAATTTTGTAAAATATCTAGAGCATGGAATCGCCCGCCGCCCCGGCCAGAGTCGTAAAAGTCCTAGGTCGTGTTGGGGCACGTGGCCTTATGACTGCGGTCCGTGTGGAGTTGTTGAAGTTTCCGCGTAATCAAATGCTCAGAGCTGTTAAAGGTAAGTAAGATTTAAAAAACAAAAACGTGCTTTTTGTGAAAGTTGCTGCCTTATTTTGCCCTATCGCCAGGTCCCGTTCGTTTGGGTGACATAATCAACATTGAAGAGGCTTTGGAGGATGTTTGGCGGCCGAAGTAATCAATCAAGTTTTTAATATTTACATAGTTTTTGGTGAATAGACGACAAAATTTCAAAAAGTCAACAAAAAATTCAAAATTATTTAAAAGTGGCGCTTTCACATTTGAAAAAGCTTAGCAGTATCGTCAGACAGAGCTGCATTTTTGCTAGGCATTCACAGCTCAGCTCATTGTACCGTTACCGCTACCGTTGCATGCCGAAGAAGTTGCTGTCAAAAGCTCTTTCGAAATTCGAACAACGCTCAGCTGAGCGCGCTTAACGCAAAAGCGCTTCCCGCACTCCAGTCCCCCCTCCCACCCCAAACGAAGCAAGCCCGTGTCAGCGACGACGTCGGGTACGTTGTGTTTTATTCGCCGTTTCGTTTTCGGTTTCGGTTTCTGCTCAGTTGTTGGTGCGCGCTCGCGTATCGCAGTTGTTGCGTTGTGGAGGGCGGCTGACGCCAGCGTTGTGTGTTTTACATACATACATACGTTTATGTATGCATGTGTGAATTTCTGTTGCTGCTGTCATTGGAGTACATTTCGACTAAAGTAAAACTCCGCCAACCGATTTCAGCTAACAAATTATTAAATTAAATGTGCGAATGCGGCCACAAGCAAAAGCAGAAGTTGAAGATAAAGTAAAATATTTATTAAAACAGCCGGGGATTTATCGGCAGCGCCTTTTCGCTCAACTCCGTTTTGGACTGTGAAGTTTTACGTTGGTGTTGTGTAATCGCCCCCCAACTGTACGGGAGTTAAAGCTGTGCCTGCCTTTCTGTGTGTGTGTATTTGCATTGTACGATTTTACAGAAACAGCAGCAGCACACACACACACATATACATTGACAGGTCGGCGGTATGTTTCAAATTTCTTAAAGCATTTTGAGCTTGGTAAAATTTTTGAGCGTGAACTTCAACTTTAACGCGGACACAAAAACAAATTAACGAGTGGGTAGCTCGAGCTGAAGCAGTCACAAAGTCCATTAAAACAGGTGAGTTGGCTTTTAAACAGCCAATTATTAATAGCCATAAATTCTCGTTCACAAGCAAAAATCTGCTCCAATTTTTCGTGCTCCACTCCATGACACATTTCGGTGAAAGAAAAGAAGCCAACAGCCAAAAAATGCCGTACTATTGATTTTCCTTTGCAGGTCTGCGTTGGCGCTTTTATTTCTGCCGATTTCGTGTGCACGCAAACTTACATACACACGCATATACATATGTACTTATGTATGTGTACGTACATCTGCATGTGCTTGTAAGTTTCATCAATAACGAAACTTTTTCTGCTGCTCCGTTTCCGTTTACCTTAAACTGGCTTTTTTTCGCATTTGCTTTTCGTTACACATTTTCTCTCTGTGTACTTGTGTGTGTGTGTGTGTCTGACTTTTTACCATATGGTCGGGATTATCGATCGTTTGCTTTGTACACTGCATCCACTGAATATTTACTGGTTCGTTTGGGATTCCGCGACCTTTCCCATTGTCTGATGCTGGTTATGGGATTGACGTCAACTAGCTTACCATGACCTGATTAGGTAAGGGCGCGGGCGGGATCCCACTCCAGATGTACGCAGCTTTATCTTGCTAGCGTATTAACTGTCAAGTACAGGTTGCATGGTAAGAACTCTCTGCTTTTAGCTATTTTTAATTTTAAGATTATGCAAAGTACAGTTAGTCTGTTGAGTGCGCAAAAAGTTAGTCATCAAATGAGTTCGATTGTTTTTTAACCGCTTCGTCATTCATGAAAATATCGTTCTTTTATGGTTGGTTTATGTCGAGCGAGTAGCGCTTAACCTTGTCAATTCATAAATAGTGTTATTCGCAATTCGTTCTAAAATATTTGTAATCTAAGTAACCAGAACTCGACTAAATGTGTTTTATATTGTATTAGCGTGCATTCCCCGGCCTTGCCCGTGGCAAGTTTTGAGCTTCAAATTTAAAACAAAACTACCATTTTACCAGTTACCGCCTCTGGAAAATTTAAAACTACCCATCTATCTATAACCCCGTTAGTATTTGAAAATATAGATAGTCAATCGGAATTTTGCTAATAATGAATCAAGTAAATTTTCACACACTTTTGATCCGATCGGATCGTAAGCAAAAAACTTTCTTACAACCGTTTTCCGCCATTTTACCACTGTTTCGAGTGGAATTTCCAAAATCTCTGAAACAGTTATTCATTATTCATTAAGTTCTTATGTAGTGAATGGAAAATAAGTTCGAATGGAACAAACCTCAAAACTGTCCAATAAATCTATGATCCACAATTTTCATTGAAAATCAGTTTAAGGCCAATCGAATAATCAAAAATGTTTCATACAAGCGATTTTCGTAATTGTTCCACACATGCGGGTGGAATTCTCCAAAATCGCGTCTTAGTGTTCAACCCTTTCATAATAAATAACAAAGTGCGCTGAGCACCTGATCACTGATTAGTCAGCCAGCCACTCTCTCAGGAGAAACATTTATATTTATAAAGATTAAAATTAATGCAATATATATAAGGTATTGAATCCGTTGCGATTTCAAACTTACTTAAAAGCTTGACTGTTCTATAATGAGCCTCAAAACTCGCTCAGATACATTGACCTTCGTGTCGGAAATGATAAATAATGCATTGGCACCAATTTACACAAAAATGCTAATTAAAACGCCAACGGTGTTTAAATTAAAACAAAAGAACAACAAAATTTGCTAATTCAGGCACACAAATAGCTTTCATTGTTGATACATTTAATATTAAAAACCTTGACAATCAGTAAACATTATTGCATTATTATTGGTATATAAAACCGTTTAAAAAAACCCGTCCATCATTCCGAAACTTCGCCCATACAAACTCCGACCGTTATTTGCAATCGAAGAGGTGCCGAAAATGTAAAACACGTCTCAAATTCATTTAAAGCCCGATCGGATGGCAAACAAAACATGTCCATTCAAGCCTTTTCCAATTTTCTACACTTGCGGGTGGAAAAATCTTAACTTTTCGTCCTTTTACGGCTATAAACAACAGTCTTATAAACATATAGCTGGTATTCCCGGTCATTAGTTCACGATTTTCCTTCAGTGGAAAACTTAAAACAGCTAAAATAATTTTTCAAATAGATATTAAAATCCATTTAAATCCGTAAGATATGGATACTGGAAATACTTTTAGAGCATGTTGAGCATTTACTTGTGGTCCTTGGCAATCTCATTGCTAGATTACAGTCTAAACTTAGTATGAGATTTAAACAAGGGCTAATATTAAATAAAGGTATTTTTGCTGATCAAACGTATATTTCACATGTTTACAGAATAACTTTGACAATCTTGAACGGCTTGAGGGCGATTTCAGCCCTGTTTTAATGTCTAATTTTTGTGCGCTTCAGGCGTGACAACATTACCCCAACTGTTAGTTTCTGTGCTTTGGCCTGAAACTGCACTCGAAATCACAGTCAAACGAATAATACGCTATTTCTGGCAGGTAAAGCAAGCAGAAGAGTGGCTCGACAATCACTGAAGCGTCAACCACAGCTCTGATTGAAAGTAGCATTGCACTCTAAGTGTGCGTGTATCTTTGAGATACATGCACTCACTGCCTCTACGCTCTGTGCTCTGTGCTCTATGGTCATAAGTGAGCAGCCAAGCATGAAAGCGTTCGCAGCGACAACCGCAGCCCCTCATTTAGCCGGGTTCTGAGAAGGCTACCCAAGTTCCCTGTGTTCTATTCGCAGAACTTTATCAGGCCATCCCCACTGTCGTGGGCTTTGCTGGATGCGGAGGCGGGGCATGTGGTTGTGGCACTCATAAGGTGTACATAAATTGTACTTAGTATCGCAATCAACGCCAGTCGACAGACAATCGATTAATAAAGGCAATTAGATTTTCTAGCGTCCTGCACAAGTTTTTAATTGAGGTCGTTTAAGCTCCTGAAGGTGCATCGCTAACTGAAAGACAATTCAGCACTTTACACACGGCATAAATAAACTTAGATTCTCACAATTTAAAGCAGAAGAAATTAATTTAAAAGTCGCAAAATTAGTTCAACAGTATTCGAGAATTGGGGCCTCATAAAACAATGGATGAAACGCATCTTCCCAGCTCGTATCGCTTCTCGAATCTCGTACCTCCTGTCTGCAAATAAAACATTTACTATATTATTTAAGAAAATACAACTAATAGGAAAAAAGAATGAAAGAAGTTGTTAATAAAGTAAAAAAATGTATACTAGTTATATAGAGTGTTAAGTAGATAGGATAAAGAGATAGTGATGGGAAATCACCCCCAGTGGGGGAAATTTTATAGGCCGTCCGGCAAGCTACTACTATACTACTACTCATAGTTGTGAATGTTCGGTGAGTTCCCGTAGATATTTAGATTAACTTGTTGTCCCAGCCCTCATCGTTGAAATGTGGTCAAAAGCACGGGCTTGTCAATTTGATATTGGTCAACATCTGATCTGTGCATCTGTAAAAATAAGTTGCGAAGACTACCTACTTCTAATGTTTTAGAAGGGGAACCAACTAGCGAAGCTTTGATAGTCCCCATCGGACTGTTAGGGAAGAATTGGACACTAACTCGAATACTTTAGTAAGGGGCTCGTCGGCAGCTAATCTAACAGGCTGCCATCCATTGGTAGATTATTGGCATTGACAAGCGTTGATTATTTTGAAGAATATATTTGTTTATCAGCTGATCAGAGTTCAACTCACAAGCTGGTTAGCTCTGGAGCTAGCCGTTTATTGGTGGTGGTTGCAGTTAATGGGCTAGAATTTATGTCGGTTAGCTGCAAATAGTTAACTAATGGGACTAGTCCGAAGTTAAATTGGGCCAGCAGGGTAAGAAAACCAAGAACTGTCACCAGCAGTCGACAACTAGCAGGAGACGGCTCGAAGGTTTGTTTTAGTTCTTCACGACTCGACTCGTGCTCGGCACGTTTTTGCATGATTTCCGTCCACGGCACACCCACCACACACCACCATCCACCCACCCACCCACCACCCAATCCTGGACGGGGCTAACAACCCCAAGTTAAAGGCGCGTCCAACGATTGTTCGACGGCGCTGCCGTGTGGCGCATTATCCTTTAACG